ATTCTATGACTTCTTTAGAGGTTGCAAATATTGTGTATCGAGCAATAAGTGTAGAAGCTCCTTTAATAGCCATATGTTTACTTAAAATTCTCAAAGGCTATTGTAAGAGAATGACTAATTTAAAAATAAATAAATCCGTAATACAATGGGGTTTCAATGTTTACAATGAGCACAAGAGAATGATAACAAAACTATGATGGCAAAAAAATGATATGACTGTCACTAACACTAATATATATGACACATTAGTATCTCGCTGTGCGTTGCACAAGATGTAACATGCGGATATTATAAATGTTAAGCATTTATAAGTCATATTATTAATTACAACACGAATGAGAGAAATTGTAAACAAATAACACTTCTTCCGTATTTTAAAGTTTGCTACACTTTCATTTCTATTCCGTATTTTAAAAGTTTGCTACATTTTTCCTTTTTGGTAAGTTTTTCCTTTAAAACACTATGTACTCAATTACATTTACTTTTCTACTTTTTATTTTCTTTTTTATATTTTTCCACCCTCTCTCCTAGTTTTTGTATACTATTCGTTACTCTTACTATGTCACCCTTAAATAATGTGCACAAATCTATTGTAGTGAACTTTTAATGCGAATTGAAGGGGTAACAAATATTAGAAGTTTAATATAGTTCATACTATATGTGTAGTATAATGTTAAACTGCAATTATATACACTCTCAGTTTAATTACCAAAATGAGAGTACGAGTGAACAATATAGTCGAATGACTTATACTTCTCATGATAAACATTAGCCGAATGTGTGTACACCTCTTTCTGAGCATAATATTATACGTACTATAATTTTTTTTGGCAAAATAATTTAATAAGGAGTAACTTTTTATCAACATACATATCATTACTATTGACACTGAAACATACAATTCTTTTTGTTCGAAACAGACAATGGAAAACACACCCCTTCCAAGTTCCAACGCTTGTCTTTGGTTACTGAATTAGTAAACAATGGAAAACACACTCCTTCCAAGTTCCAATGCTTGTCTTTGGTTACTCAATTAATATGGTTCAAAGCTATCATTGTATTCAATAATTTTATCAATCTTGGAGCTGAAAGATAAATGAACTATCATTTGGAAACGTGAAAATTGAATGTGTTGATATAGGGCTCGAATGATTGAATAATATAAGACCTAAATTAACATAAATTTTATAATTTTTATATTTAAAATTTTTACAAATTACGTAGTATTTAATTTTATTAAACTAATATTTTTTGGTGAAGTAAAGTTTATCAAAAACTAGCAATGAAATTAATAAAAAAATTAAATAAATCAAAATCTATGATTATTTAGGCCCTAGATTAATAATTTTCAATTATTTAAGCCGACATATCCACACATTTCATCTCTCAAGTTCCCGATTGATAGTTTATCTATCTTCGAGATTCCAGATTGATAAAATTACTTGTATTTTAATCAATGTCCTTCAATAATACTATCACTTTTAGAAAGCTTATAAAAGAATCAAATAAAAAATATTTTTTTTTACTTCAATTTCGTGCAATACTGCCAATACATACTAACATCAAAGAGATGATCACTAAATTTTAATTTATTAGAGAATCGTCAATTCGTGATTAATGTTCTCACATACCCCCACTATAATTAATGTTTTTAAAACTTGTTCAAGTCCTTTGATTGATTTTTTAGAAAACTCGGCTCCTAAACAGTTGCTGTACCATGGGAGCAACCCACGGTGAGCATGTTGCTCCCACCTTAAAATTCGCGTGTTACTGTTCATATCCATGAACAGTAACTTTTTTTTTTCATTGTCCAGGAGCAAAATGATGTAACTCGCGTATAAAAAATGTAACTCACGCAGATGAAAAATGTAACTGCAGGCAAGTCGAAATGTAACTTGTCTAATACGGATCGGATAATAAGAAATAAAATATTGATTTCAATGAAAATAATGAGTGTAATTGCTCAATTATTTTACCTAAATAGCGAATATGTTTTGTTTTCAATATTAAGACCATACAAGTGTTGTTTAATTTTTTTTTTTTTGCTAAAAATCATTTCTTACAAAAAAGTGATTGTTTTACTAAAAATATCTTCTTTTTTTGCAAAAAAAAAAAAAAAATTCTTTACAGGGGTTTATTAAGACTCCTTATTAATTACAATTTATACAATTTTGTATATGTTTCATGCGTATTATTGTTTACTTTTAAAACTTTTTACTTTTTACAATGAATACGAAGTATATGTTAGTTTTGTTCTTTATCTTTTTTTTGACATATTTTTCTTTATCTAATTTCTCTTTAGGTTCCAAATAAAAAGCAACCCTTTCCAAGTTTCACTGTAGGTTGTTTAATGTTTATTGCTGTGTTGAACAAACACACAAGTACAAAATATAGGAGCAGAAAATTGGAAAATTTGTCGCTACTGAAATGTCAATCTGAATGAAAAGTAATAGTTCAAAAAGTTTTGCTCATTTTTCGGTAATTTTACAGTGTGGACTGTGGAGTCGTGGAGGCTAGAGTTTTAGGAGCGGTAAATTATACTGTGGGATCGGCATACCATGCTCATGGTACATCGATTCCAATACGGTGACGTTTTTCTTTGATCACCACGGTCTCATGGTCTCTTACTCCCCCAGCCCACCATCTTTCTTTCGTTCTTTTTGTTTTTTTTTTCTTTTTATCAAAAGCTAACAATCATTGAGTCCACTATTTCCAAATGGTTTTGTTTCTAATTCATGACCAGTGGAACGTATTAAGAGTATTATAATTTTCTGATCCAATTTTTATCATTTCAAAATAAATTAATTACTTTTTTCTATCTTAGTCATTAGTCATACACTTCTTTCTATTTTCTTTCTTCAAATGAAATTAAAATAAAATTTATTTTTTATGTGATGTTTTTTTGTATTTATACATTTCTTTCATAATATATTTGTTGGGTTAATGGCCCAAGCCGAGGTTCGGCCCATTAACCCCTTTTTACCAGACGCACGTCCAGTTAGAACACAAGGCTAGCCGCAGGCCCATGTTCCTTGGGGAGGGACGAACGTCTGGGGGTTTAGACTCAACGGCCCATCGCGACGAACATCTATGCAGGGACAAGGAGCAGGACCACGGTCCATCAGGGATGACGACGAACGTCTCCAGAGCAAGCCTATAGTCATCGAAGGAAATCCAGTCCGCATGGTGAGAATCCATTAAGACCAGGAGACGAACAACCGAAACCTCTCGAGGGTCACTTGGAGCGATCCAGCTCGCTCCCGGGCGGACGAACGTCCCCACTATTTAGGCGGGAAACCTAGATTCTGGCGGGAAGTGCATTTAATGCTGAAGATTTGGTGGTTGGGACACCAGCGGTCCACAGGCCTCCACGTCAACATAGCCACCTGCCCATTGGTGGGTATAAATAGAAGCATTTATTTCATTGTAAAGGGTTGGCAACTTTCTATTCTTAGCACTCTAGCTATAGCATTCTTACTCGCAGCACTTCTACTGCCTTGTAAGACGAACGGCCGACGGAGCCTTAGCGAAAAGTATTGTATTAGGGAGTTATTAAGAGATAATAATACCTAGTCAATTATTTGCTACTTCTTGTTCTCTTTATTCCATATCATATTATCATCTGCTTGCTGGGCTAGTTTACTCACACACACTCCACTCGAAATCCTTGGGCTTACGTGTTGGACCCGAGGGTTGAAGGAATAAACCTCAACAATATTTTTTAATATTCATACACTTTTTTCTATAATATATTTCTTGTCTCTTTTATATGTTGTTAGTTTTTAAAACATTAAATTTGTTTATTTTGATTTAAATTTGATAAAATATGAAATTAGCTTTTCATATGTGTGGTTTATATGTTCATAAAATATCTCTTGGGAATTATAATTAATTGAGCAATTATACTCCCTGTTTTCATTATTTATATTTGAATAATTTGATCATATATGGTCCAATATGGAATTACATCTTCACATGTACGGGTTACACCTTTTTATGTGTGCGTTACAACATATTTCTATATGCGAGTTATATTTTCCATAACACGAGTTATATCACAAAATAAACTCTTGCTATTGAAACAAAAAATCAATTTTTTGCAAACAAAAAAGATCTTGTTTGCAAAAAAAATGATTTTTTGACAAAAAAAAAAATTATTTTCAATTAAAACAGTTTTTATGGCCTTAACACTAAAAACAAAACATATAAATTGTTTGCTTTAATTAATTGAGCAATTAGACTCCTTATTAAAAATTAAATTACATTATTAAAACTTGTATATGTTTCTTTTCCGATAAATTGTGATTAATCTTCATCGTATAAATTGTAAAAAGTTGTGATTAATCTTCATCGTATACAAAATAGATTAAAACTTGTGATTAATCTTCATCGTATAAATTGTATTTCAAAACATATACTCCTTATTAACATATAAATTTTAAAAAGTTTCTTTTCCGATGTACCAAAAAAAAATTGTAAAAAGTAAAAACACGCATAAGGGCATGACCGCATGAGGTACATACCTTTTACAGTTACTCTTTCAATTGTTTTGATTTCCGTATTTTTATTTACACTTGAATTTTTTTACCTGTTTGTAAATAATATTCTCGTTTCTTTCTCATGGATAATTGTGATTAATCTCCATCCCTCCCACCAAAACATCCTCCAAATCTCCCCCCACCATCACACAAATAATAGTGATGCTATATGACCATATTTAATTAAAATATTCGGTTTCAAAAACTATTACTCTCAAGTCCAAAGTCCAAACGTTTAAGTACTGAAAATAAATGAATCGTAAATGATAGTGCAAAATTGAATTTCAAATAAGTTTTATTATGTAACAAATGAAAATAATACTAAGTAGAAATTAACACTAATAATACAGCGCAGAAATTAACACTTTAACACGTTTTCTAAAAACAAATGAAACTGAAAAAAAAACGAAGAAGCTGAAAAACATTATACAAACATGAAGTGAACAAGCTCATAAATGAAGGATCCGATAATTAACTCGCAATAGTAAAACAAAGAATGTGTCAATTCACAATACCAGTAAGAACACAGCAATCATTCAACTTCAAAATAGAGTAACACAAGCTTTTTTAAGCATCCAACTAGGCATTTTTGAACTCTTAAACAGATGTTTCTACTCAAGCTAGAGGAAAGACATGGTGGTCCTACGAGATTATTTAAAGTATGATCCCAATGCTAAAGATCTAAATACCTTAGCAAATACCATCACCAAATATTTCAGAGCACTTTGAGTTGGGAACTCTCTCAGGCATGTTGATCACAGGTACAAGAGGGGCAACCGGGCAAGCAAGGGAATTAGAGAAATGAAGAATAACACCTTTTGTTTTGGGGTGTTCAAAAAAAAGATACCAACTCAAAGTCAATTTTCGGTTATCCAAGTAACTTCATGGTTGCCCTCACAAAGGAAGCGGCCTCCAATTGGTCAAGTATCCAGTAAGCCTCTAGTTACTGTTTCTATGAAACTGTACGCAAATAGATGAAAATGAGTTTGAAATTATATATATCCAAGCCATAATAATGCATGCTCAAGTTTCTTAGTGGATTCAGGCTGATAAAAGAATGCATTAAAATCTATCATACATCCAGTGCATTGATAAGGTTAATTCATCTAATAATCAATCTAATAAAATTTAATAACAATGAATAGGATCGCATCCATCTATTGGTATTGTAGGGATGCTTAATAACTCGCCACCAATAAATAACTTCTTAACATTATAACATAGTAAACAAAACACTCCCACTATATCAGAATTTGGAGCGGTTGAATTTTTCTTCTCATTTAAGAATACTAGGAGGGAAATACAAGGATAACATAAAAAAGTATCGATGAAAAAATATGTTGGGATGGGGTTCAGGTACACACTCAATGAATTTATTTTAGATTCTTGTTGAAATCCTAACTGTATGTTTTCATTTGCATTTGAGAAATTGTCAATTTGGTCCTTGTACTATCACAAAAATGTCAATTTCGTCCTCACATTTTTAAAAAAAAATCAATCAAATCCCTCAACTTTGAAAACATTCAATTGAGTCATTTAACAGGTTACCTGCCATATCAGCAGGCCAGCCGCTGATGTGGCGCACACATGGCAGTTCATGTGTGCGCCATGTCATAGGGAAAGGCTGGTCGGGCTTCCATGTGTGCGTCACGTCGGCAAAGTCACTGTTGATCGGGCTGCAACATATGTGCCATGTCAGCAAGTGACTTGCTTATGTGGCATATAACCTACTAATGGACTCAATTAAATGTTTTTCAAACTTCAGGGATTTAATTGATTTTTTTTAGAAGTACAGGGACTTAATTGACGTTTTCATGTTAATACAAAGACAAAATTGATAGTTTTCCCTTTGCATTTTACATGATCTGGGGTTGTTACCACCGTATTTTCTGCCTGTAACAGGGAGGAGGGGGTATAAACCTGGTGCCAACAACTACAAAATCTCTACTCTGGAGACAACAGCAAAAGCCTTTAGCCAGGCAAAGCAGCATCAGTCAGGACCCTAGGGAAAGAGCAGAGGCTTCCAGGCTGAGAAGGAACCAGGGAGGGGTGTCTTTGTGGGGGACTAAGTCATCTCAAGTAGTTGAATTTTTGGATGTCAATGAAGAAGAGAGCTTAAATCTCTTTTCGTTACTAATTTACTACTACGTATATAATCTAGATGTGATAAATTGTCATTATATGCATTGCCTACTCCTCTCTGCATAAAAGTCATATCCATCCATGAAAGAATTTTTAATGGATGAATTAGATTGATTTAATAAAAATGATCATGGAAGGAAGGATTTTTATTGTCAAATGTTTAATTCATTTTTCGGAAATAGAGTTTGTCCAAATCATTATAATTCTAAAAAGAGTTTGTCCAAATCATCTAATTGTCACCCATACAACAGCACCCTCCATGAAAAACAAGCGCAACAACAATCAAGTCGTGATCTCAATTCTCCAAGATAAGTGTACAACAAAAGGGTTCAGAAATTACATAAATTGCAATTAAAAAAAAATCACATATCCCTCCTATTGGGGGGGATCATTCCCCCTTAATCATCTCCCTGCCTACCTGATCATAGTTATAACCACATCCCTTGAGCCAAGAACCTAGAAGTGCAAGTCGTAGTCTTAAAATATACAACATGATAAGGAAAAATGCAAGATATACCTGATATTTATCTCTCCATAATCAACTTATCTCCATATGTTAAGCACAGTAAATGGCTTGATCTATATTGGGAGGAATGGGTTTTATTTCAGTCCCAAGTTCTTGCTCAATTTTGTGCCTATGAATAGAAGAACGCTCATAAGGAATTATGAATTATGAAAACAATCAGATATTTATACTGCATATGGCCATCAAGAAATAAGTCAAATAACTTAAAGCAATATAAAATACATACAAATTGAAACGGTCTTCATAGGTAATTAAATTCACAGCTAATCCAAGATGCCCAAACCTTCCTGAACGGCCCACCTAATCAATACAAACCAATGGACATTCTAGTAATGTGATTTCAAGCAACATAACAAAAACAACAAAGGAATTATATCGACTCAGTTTCCCAGAAGATATATTAGCTATCAATAAGGGACCAGGAATCAATTAAGTTCCTAAATGATTTAAAGTATCCATCCAGGACCCCAAAGATTTTCCTTATTATTTGTAATTATTTTTGACAATTTCAATGAAGTCCTTCAGGGTTCATAAATTTAATGAAGACTTCATTAAATAAAGAAAAATAAAGAATCAAATTTCATTATTTGTAAGTCTTAAATTGATAGCTTCATCTTTTCTACAGTTCATCTTTCAAACCCTAAATTGATAGGTAAGATACCTTCTGTGTCTTGAATCAATAAAACTCCTAAAACAAGAAACAAAACCACATTGAAATGATTGCACATACCCTGTGCAGATAAGTTTCTGAGTTCTTAGGGAAATCAAAATTTATGACAACATTCACAGCTTGAATATCTATACCACGGGTGAATAAATCTGTGTATGTAAAACTCGGCTGATTAGTTTCCATTGCATACCAACGTACAGCCTACAAGTCAAAACAACAAAAGGAGCTCATCAAGAAGATACCAGTGCAGACAAGATTCCTGCATGCACCATTTCGGAAGTCATGAAAAACTTTGTTCCTATGGTCTTGTAGCATCTTAGCATGGATATAAAAGCAAGAATAACCAAGCTCTGTAATTTTCCTTGCAAGCAGTTCCACTCGATTTACAGAGTTGCAAAAAATGATTGACTGGTTGATTTGCAGCTGTAAAGAGAAGTATTAGTAATAGGAAGCCATAGCAAAAAAAACAACTGAACTCATGTTTATGTCGAAGATCATACCTTGGAGAAAAGGGTATTGAGGCAATGGACCTTTTGTCTCTCTTCTACAAAAGCATAATACTGTGTTATACCTTTGAGAGTAAGCTCATCCATTAGGTTAATAACATAAGGTTTTTTAAGATATCGATCTTTGAAATCCTTGACAGTCACTGGAAATGTAGCGGAAAACATCAAAATTTGCCGGTGCTCAGGTAAAAAGCTAATTAGATGCTCCACAGAAGGTTGAAACTCGGGGGATAATAGTTTATCAGCCTGGAACAAAAATCCATTAACTTTTAGGGGTTGAGGATATGACCCACATCTCATACACTTTAAAATATACAATTAAATTCCACCAACTTATACTTAACAAAATACACATGAAGGGTTTGAAATGCAGAAAATTATGTACCATTTTATAGATTTACTCATACAAATGTTTACAGGGTAAATGCGTGAAATTGATTTAGTGGAGAGTAATTGAGTACAAAGTTACTTAAATGTGAAAAACAAGGTAAATTTGTTTCCGGCAATTACATTCTCATTATCGAGCAGTTAACTATTTAATGGTGTGTCACTGTATTACAATAACTTTCTATGAGAAAAAATGGAAAAGGTATAAGTCATAGCCTTGTAGAACATCATAAACTTCAGGGAATCAAAATGAGAGGTTCAGGTGACATTCTTAGAAAATGGATGTTGGTAGTAGCCAATAGCTATATCATTATTTGGACGTGTGGGCATATCATTAGTTCACAAAGCTCTTTTACTATATTAACTAATTGAGCTACACAAACACATAACCCACGAATCCCTAGGTAAAAATCCGTAACAAGGAAAAAGGTAGTCATAAATGACAATAATCTGAAAGAATGGTTGTTATAAGGTAAGCTAATTCTATACAGGCCTTATGATCTATCCTTGTTGATACTTTAAATCATCCATTATGTGCAGTAAAACTAAGGCAGTAAAACAGAAACATGGGATGATATCATTTATCTTTGTAAGTATACCTCATCCATAGCAAGCATTGTACAGTCTTTCAAAATGCAGATGCCCTTTTTCGCAAGGTCCAGAATTCTTCCAGGAGTTCCAACAAGTAAATGGACCGGTTGATACAATCGCATGATATCATCTTTCAAACTAGTTCCTCCTGTAGAAACCATCACTTGTATCTTCAAGTGTTTACCAAGTTCCTTACAAA